TATGCAATCCCAAACTTTAGAATACGATATAATATACTAAATCTCGGGCAAAACATTTTTTTTGAGGGAGACACGTACCTTTGAGCTGGAGCGGGAATGTGAAAAGTAACATTCGACTTTTCTTACTTGCATTTTGGTGTACGTCACGTACTGTGTGATGAACTAGGGAGATACTCTTAAATTTGACTTTTGTTTTTTTTCCAAAATCGCGAACAGCAAACAGTATGAACAAGGGACATATAGCATTTGGAGTTTTAACTAACGTTAGTTTCAGTGCCAATGCACAGAATCATAAGTTTTGTTGACGGATTAGCTGCGACAGCGACATTGTGTTCATCGTATGTTCCCCTAGGCTGAAACGGCACCTGGACCGCCGTGGCGTCCCTTGACCGCTCATGGAAAACGGATGATGAGAAAAACCCCGGAATGAAATATCCTGTTTTTGAGAGAAACCCACATGTCTCTTGATTCACTTGATTTTCACTTGATTATGATGCCAGTGCTTTTGACTGAGTTTTGGACCTTAGAGATGTGATACTGCCAATTGGTGCAAGAATCCGTTCATACGGTAAACAGAGTATGCCGTGGCGACATATTGTAAGCCATGTAAATTGTCACGTGTTATCGCAATCGAGGACAAAACAGTCCATTTTGAGACACTAAAAGTGTGGCACGTGTGTCATTATTAGATATTGAACAGAATTCAAACATATTCAAACACATTATATAATTGATACTACATTGAAATTCATTTGGTAATCGACAGGTTGACCGGGGCTAGGGTCACGAATGTAGTTGCTGCTGTTGTGCAGATCCTGTCGACATTCTTCGGGCTGCCGGAAATCTCAGAGATTGATGTCGAAGGTGTTTGCCTGGAGTTGGACGCTGGGGGTGGCTTCATAATTAATCTGTATTCTGTTGTATCTTAGTAAATCTTACTACATCTTAATATATTCTTAATATATATATATATTATACTTTATACAATACCTTACTGATTACATTCGATATATGTATATACATCATATATTATTATATGTCTACCTTATGATACATATGAATATATATTTATTTTATAAATATTTTTTTTTGTATCTTACTATATAGCAGAAGTTTCACCCGCAAACTGGCATTACTATCAAAGTTCTAGAGGCTGGGCCTTGACGATCTTTGAATCATGGCGAAACCAATAGGATGTGCAGCGAGAACAGGACTACTTTATCTGGATATACATTGGCAAAGTCTTCAGCAATTTGCAATCTACTTCAGCGGCATTCTCACTATTTTTTTGGGCTCTTTTTGGGACGACAAAACATGATGCCAGGTTGGTATAGGGGTTATATGGATAAATCAAAGATCCTGCAACGTTTTGGCGGAGAGACTTTCAAAATCGTTCAAATCAGACCCCGCAGGGCCTTTGAACATCTGTGAACTGTTCAAGGTTCAAAGAGTGATTCAGGCAGAGCATTGTTGGCACTTCAGCACAACTTGTTCCCTTCAGAAGTTTGCGCAAACAAGAACCAGATGTTTCTTCAGCGCTGTTTCTTTCCCTGAGTTGTTCCCTGTCGGTAATGTGGTAAACAGTTTTCACCCACTTTTATTAACCAACCCCAATAGAGTTCAGAAGCCAGGATGATGTTTTGTATATCATTTTTTAAAGGACAGACCGTAAGACTGGTGGGTCGTACCATTAAGACAAAGCACAAATACACCAAGGTATGGTTTTGTTTTGTTTGTGTGTCCTTTTCTAGTCGAGATTGCTGCCAACATTTCAACACATGTTTCATGCACTGTTGTCAACTGAGGCGAATGGATGACCTTTGCATCGGACCTGAAGACAGCCCAGACACCTTGAAGGTGTTCCTCTGACATCCCTCATCCCAATAGTTCGGTTGCATGCGGAAAAATTGAGATAGTCTTAGTACCCTCTGGTAAACTAACATAACTATGGAAAATCACCATTTTTAATGGGAAAACTCACTATAAATGGCCATATTCAATAGCTATGTTAAATTACCAGAGGGTACTCTGAATGTTGCAATTGCTCTGGGATTCAATGTGAAAGATTTGAAACGAGGCTCTTCATTAATTGCAAGTAGCTTACTTGAGAGTGTTTGAGTTTAGATACTTCTGTCAAAGACCGTGGAGAACTCTACTGGCTTTGAGGGGAGGGCCAGAGCAAGGTATTTTACTCTTTATTTGTCTATTTCTGCTCGGCTTGTCCCTTAGCAATCTGGACATATTTGGACGCATCGGCATGTATAATTGATTGCGAGTACTGGCTAAAGAAACAAAAAGGCAAACTTCTTATGCATCTACCACCGCCACCACCACCACCACCACCACCAACAACAACAACAACAAGAGGAAATAACTGTTGGTCAAAGTGCTCACGGGCTCAGCGTGGGTGTTTTCATAGCAGACGAAAAGATGCTTCATGATCGGGACCGCTAGAAAGGTCTGGAGCATTCCAAGTGATTGTTGTTGGTGCTGCTGGTTGAGTTTAATGCTGCTGGTTGAGTTGTGAAGCATCTCCTTGCGCTGTTCATGTGCTGGGCTTTCTAGTACCAGATGTTTCCAGAATGCTTCCGCAAAGCGGAGAACGATATCCCTCAACATGTCACCGAGAAGTGAAGCATGCCCCCTTTCGGAACTTGTGTCAGGACTTGCTCAATTCCAAACAACATTCAGATCCTCCCCTGCGTATCAAACCTTCAGGGGGAAGAGAGCCCAGAGTACCCCTGGGTCAATAACTAGGGCATGTGCCAAAAAAAGATATTTAAGGCACCAATAAACATATATTTAAGGGAACAAAAGCAACATATTCAATTTTCCTGCGCTGGTGCAGTGTTCCTCACTCCCTTGGTCCCCTCCATTGGTCCCCTTGGTCCTCTGGTCTGGTCCCGTGGTCCTTCCGTTGGTGATTCTGGTGCCTTTAAAGACATGAATCAAGTTGAATAAAGCTTAATTAATCTTGATTAAACCAACCGTTAAATAACACACACACACAGTTTTTTTATATTTCTACATGGTTTATAAACCAACCCTAAATGACCCCTAGCCCTAAACCAACCCGAAATAAGTCTCAAACGAAACCTAAACCGACCATCAAATGAAACCTAAACCAACTCTAGATCAACTGCAAATAAACCCTAAACTAACCCTAAACCAACCCCAAGTAAACCCTAAATCGCCGCTACAGAAACCATAAACCAACCTTAAATAAACCTTAAATAACAAACCACAAACCAACCCTAAATAAATCCTAAGCCAACCCTAAATAAACCACAAACATCGCGAACCAACCCTACATAAATCCAAATAATCCTTGAGCCAAACCTAAAGAAACCGTAAACCAACCCTAAATAATACCTAAACAAACCACGCACCAACCCTAAATCTTAAGCTAACCTTAAATATACGTTTAGCAGCACCTACATAAATCGAAAACCATCCTCGAGCAACCCTAAACTAACCCTAAGACGAACCCGAAGACCAACCCAAAATAAACCAAACACTTTCCCTCAATAAGTCCAAAACAAAACCTAAACAAATACGTCTTAAACGAAACCTGAATAAAACTTAAACCAACCCGACAAAAAGTCTTAAACCAACCTTAGATAAACTGCAAGCAAGCATTGCTGTGGGCTAACGTTAAATAAGTCTTGAACGGAACCTGCATAAACCCTTGACCAACTCTAAACAAACTTTAAAACAACCGTAATTAGACCCTAAAACAACTTTAAATAACCCCAAACCAATCCTTACTCAACACTAAAACCACCCACCAATGAACAGTGACCCTAAATAAACCCAACACAACCCGGAAATAACCCATAGCGATCCTAAATCGCCGGTTGGATGCGTGATTTCCAGGTCGTCCTGGGCGAGAGGTTCCACTTCCAAAGTGCCATAGAAAACCACAGAAATTTCGTCGGTTTCGTCTTGCAAAGGCAAAAACGAGGGATTCCAGGGGAATATTCTGTTTTTTTGGATGCCTTAGATATTTATTTTTTGATCCCCTGTGGATGTATGTTGATGCCTCAAAATTATTTTTTGATCCCTCGCCCCGTTGTTGTAGCTGGACGTGCACACCAGCTACCAAAGTGAAGCTGCCTTCTGCAAGTTGCGCTTTGAAACCGCAGGATACATAAGAGTTCATTTTTAGAGCATTATTCCATTTTTTCTATATTTTTTCTATACAGGGTTGGTTGAAGTTGTGACCGGACGTGACCGGGGTAAAAAAAGGTGTGCTGGAGATATAAATTGGTCGTGACTTGCGACGTCAGGCGCATCTGATCAAGCTGCAGAATTTCAAGAAAGAACATGAGCCTGGAACTTACAGATGGGTCAAGCTACCTATTCTTACCATATAAAAGGGGGAATCAACGTCCATTGATCCAGCATTTTCTCCAGCCATTTTGAGGGTATGCCAGGGTTTTGACCCATAGCCACCATGGGTTTTGTGTGTTTTCTGGGGGATCCATAGACACTGTTGAACAGTAATGGACCCAGAGAATGATTTGGGATCATTTGTGGATGATAAATTTACAACACTGGAAACCATTTCTATGAACACTGATCCCAAGCACTGAAATGAAATGAACACTGGTTGATTAAATTACGGTTGATTTATGAACATAAATGGATGATTTTACGGATAGTTGATGAACACTGTTCCTGCTCAGCACCTTAAATGGTGAGAAACTGATCCTGAGTCGATGGGTTGCCGCACGTGATGGTGTTGTGGACTACGCCCAATGGTGTGATGATTGTATGTGATCCGATCATGGCACCAATTGGTGGTACTATTGGCAATTGGTACTGATTTTGGTGTGATCAATGATGATCAATTGGTACCACATTGGCAATTGGTACCACATTGGCAATTGGTACCAATTTGGTGGTACGATTGGATTTTGCCTTTGTGGAGAAAAATGATGATCAATCTATTCATGCTTGGACATGTTTTTTCATGTCGATCGCATCGTTTCCCTGAGGGAAGGTGTGGGAGCTGGTATGTTAGAGATGGCTGGAAAGGCCCTGGAAAAATTGTCTGTCGACACAGGTGCGGCCTGGCGGAGTTTTCGGTGGATTGGTGGAGTTTGTTGCACTGTAAAATTCGAGAAATGGCAGTGGGTCAATAGCTATAGATACCATTTTTATCCATTATAGTGGGATGAACATCCATAAATCCCAGCTATTTTGATGTGAACTACAGGGGTACCAGGTTTTGACACATAGCCAAATGACTGCAGACTAGGTATGGTGTCATTCATTCAGCATGACCACCTATGTTCACCTTCATTGGTCGATCTTTTACAAAGTTGCACCAACTTGTGATCAGCAAATCAGGCTGATTGACCTGATGTTGATACACTTTTATACATTTTTTACAGCTTCTACAAGGTCACTTTGGACCAACAGGTGCTTTGTAGATGCTAAGCTCCCAGTTAACAGAGGAAGCTACTCTGTTGAAGCTGAAGATTGCTGAAGTTCGCAGTGAGAACATCCAACCCATCGCTTTCTTAGATGGCCTCGATTGTTGGTTGTTGAGGGTCTTTCATGGCTTCCTTGCAGCCCAGGCTCCAATACGATCCGATACGCTATAGTACCCTAAAATATATGCTATAATATGCTATAATGGTCACCGGAGTGTCTGTCGAGTGTGCTAGTAGCCTGCCGTAATGCCAAGGTCGGCAAGAAACACTCGAGAAGAAACTCTTTGAGTTAAATATTCGACGCACTCTCTGGGAAAAAGAGGTGCCGGGGGAAACCTTGTCGCTGTACTCGAGTGGATCACCAGCCCTCTAGTTACTTGGAGTGGGAAATAACCATAGTACATAGACATATATAGTATTATATAGTAATATATAGTACAGTACACCCCAACTAGTTACCTGGGATATATTCTAGTTATACCATGTCAAAAACCATCAAAACCCCCAAATTCTTGGTGGTCCAGTTGAAACAAAAAAGTGAATCGATTTTTAGCCATTCCCATCATCTGGGAACCGATTCTAGGGCAAGCCTGGTTTAGTTATTTTATTTACCCTCTGGTTATGACTAACATAGCTATTGAAAATGGTCATTTATAGTGGATTTTCCCATTAATAGCATGGTGATTTTCCATAGTTATGTAAACGTTTACCAGAGGGTATATATTATTTTATATTTATGATCCATGAATGGTGATGTTCCATTTTTACTTATCCATTTTTTTTATCCACAAAAATTCTTCACTCTCCATGAATTCGAAAGATGAATTTTCCATAGTCCTTCGACATCGATCAGACGCTGGGATGCCACCGCAGGTCATGAATGCGGCCCTTGAGAGCATTGAGGCTGCGATCAAAGCACACGAAGAAAGGAAGACAAAAGAGGCTGGTAGCCACAGCCACATGTAGATAGGCAACAAAAGGCACTGTAGGCACTGTTGCTTGATGATGATAGCCATCCAAGATTAGGATTTTTGCCATCAAAGCTAATATGGGTATATGAGATTGATATTTTTGTGGATATAACTGAAAATTGATTGATTATGGATATTATTGTCTGGGGTAAAAAAATATTAACTATCATATGCTATCCAATAGCAAAATTGGGGATTTCCGCTGTCCCGCTGTCCTTTTTGGAACAGAACTCCGTTCTTCGGCAGGCTGAGGCGTTTGAACACCTGCAGATTATGTCTGAAGATGTGTCATTATACAACATTCATGATATTCTGACTGTGATCCAGGCAAAACAACAACAGAATTACTGAAAATAGGTACAGTACCTCTTGGTGCTGATTTCCACAAGCCGATGGGAAAGATGTGCAAAACACCACCATTTCCAATGTGTTTCACAACTACTGGATGGGGCCGCGTATTTGTATGAAATTGCATTGTGTATACTATGATATACTATAATATATATAATATATATATACTAATTATTATATACTGGTTGGTGGTTTGGAACATGGCTTTTAGATTTCCATTAATATTGGGAATGTCATCATCCCTGACTTTCACTCCATCATTTTTCAGAGGGGTAGGTCGGTGAACCACCATCGCCTGCGGTGACTGCGGTGAGGCCGAAGCGAACATCAAAGTTTACCCACGCTACAAGTGTGGCGGCCTAGTCTTTACTGGTTAATGACGGTTAATGACGGTATGGTTGATGATAGGTAAATTAACTATGGTTACCTATGGTTAACTATGGTTTATTAACTATGCTTACTGTAACTATGGTTTATGATAGGTATGTCTATAGTTAATGGAATATTGACTGGATTCATGGCATGGGATATGCCTTTTTCCGAGCCGTGGAGCTTTCGGCCAGGGACGTTTTTCGTTCGCAAGCCATGTTTGATTACCGGGGAGTGCTCATGCATCATTGGATTAATTGGATTGCTTTACGGGAACATGATAAAACAAAAAAAAAAGGAAACCCCTACATTTAATTGTAAAACCATATGGTTTCCTGTAGGATGTTCCCTTAAATCATTACCGGAGAGTACCCATAAAAGATCATAAAAGTTCAACATGGTTCCATGAGTGAAGCAGCTATTTTAAGTGTTTTTTGAGACATTTGTTTCGCTGTTGCACAGCAAAACACCATCGGACCATGTTTCGGGGAGCCCAAAATTGTCGTTTTCCAACCTTATTGGAACAGAGATGGGATATTAATCAGTCATGGTTTTGCGTGCAAAGTCACATTGCACCAACGTTTGCATGTTGCTTTAATCATGTTCATGCATACAGTTGTAGGCATCCACGTATGCTGCAATGGCAATCAAGCTAACTGCAGCTAACCAGTTAGTTTGAGCCACAGAAGAAAAAGAACCAGAAAGAAAACCACTGATTTTGGTCTGGTTTTAGTAACATTAGTAACCACAAAAACGGCTGCGCGCAGGATTCAGCAACGTTACAGGGGGCCTCACAGGACTTCGGAGGTGCAGGGTTTGTGAACTATGGTGGATTCCAGGGATTTTCGCCCACCGCAGCTTCGACCCTGGAGCCTCAAGAGGCGTTGATCTTGCAGTTTGCAGATGCATTTCAGTCACAAAATATGTGACTCCGTACATATAAATACATTCTCACATAATATGACTAAACGTATGTTATATTATATTATGTTGTATATATATATATTAAAAATGGATAATATAATTCATAAGTGCATCTGCAAACTGCAAGATCGAGGCCGGGATCTTGTTTTGGCCTTGGGATTGAAGACTTGACCGAAGTTGATTCACCCAAGATCAGTCACAATGAAATCGGAGGATTTTTACTGGGCTGGGGACATGTTTTGAGAACATTTGGTACGCTCAGTGGTTGTGAACTTTAAGCCAAAGAGGCACGACAAAAAAAATCTCCTGCCATGGGGCAAGCATGGGCAAGCAAGGTCCGTCCAGAGAATTCCCAGTTGACCAATGCCCCAATGCTGGTGGATGATCTTAAATAGGGACTTCTTTTTTTTTGGATTGCAGAATATAAAACAGATATTTCTCCGTAAATGATCCTTCAGACTCTTAGAACATTTACCCTCTGGTAATTTAACATAGCTATGGAAAATCACCATTTTTAATGGGAAAATCCACTATAAATCACCATGTTCAATAGCTACGTTAAATTACCAGAGGGTAGTTGTTTGCGAAGCAAGCAAGCTATAGATGGATTTTGGGTCTCCTCGAGTTGATTTGCAGGTTGACCAACTGACCATGTTGACCACTGGATATGTCGAGTATTCCATGCGATTTACTGGAGATTTTCCATTGGGATATGTTAAATGTTTGGACTGCCATATTCTACAATATATTCAATGGATTGGTTGGATTGGTTTAAGAGAACATCTTCACCGGAAACCAATCCGATTTTCCCAAAAAAATATTTTGTGGGAAAATCCGGTTCCAATTTTCCCTGAAACCAATCCTGCCTCACAGATGTTACCCGGCCGCCTCATCCTCCGCTCGAGACCACCATCGACTTCGACTCGGCCATTTTGTCGCAGCTCCAAAAGTTCAAGAAGGAAATTCCAGGGGATCTCTTGGGAGCCGATGATTTTATCCGATGTTTTTTTCAAAAGGGAAATCCACTACTTGGGGAATCCAAAAAGGGAATATGTATATATAATTATATATATATATATAGTAATACTATATATATATATATAATATAAAATAATAGTAATATATATATATATATATATTGTGGGGTTCCTTTAGCAAGTTGAATCCAAAATTCAGGGTGCTTATCGCAGTTTTGATGCTCAAAATAGACACTGTTGCCAGGGACCTGGTGAGAAATGATGAGAAATGGGTCGTTTTCGCCGCCAGGACCAAGCAAAGATGGGAAAATCGATTCTGCACTATGTGGTGTCTTGGTCATTTTCGCTGCCAAGAAGCCAACTGACCTCCGTAGATCTCCGTATGCAATTTTACCATCTATGTAGCTGGAGCACTTTTTTCAAAGAGAAACCAGATATTCTGGTGTTGGCATTCGGAAGCCATTCCGAACGAGACGCTTTTCTGGCATTGATTGAATGTCTTCATAGGGTGGTCATAGGTTGAAAAAAAAATGAAGCATAACCTTCGGTGTTGAGGCGCAGGATCGACCTTAAGTTGGAGGAATCGCGGAATGGGACGATATTCACATGACATACATTCTGAATCATTCTGATATATCTGATATATCTGATATCTGCTGATATCTGCTGTATGAACATGTTTCTGATTGGATATCGCGAATTTTTTTATGATGTGACTTTGGAAATCCTACTGAGATTGTGGCGGACCACCTGAAGCCCAACAAGGTCTGGCCAGAAGCTTAGGTCGGCTGGGCGGTCGACTCGACATTAATTGACACCGCTTGGACGTCCAGTTGGATATCCAGCTGTCACCACTTGGAACGAAAGTCTTGGTCATTGAGTCATTGATTCGTCATTGATGCCAGATCTGGCCACGTTTTTGATTCGTTTTAATAAAAGGACTGTCCTGTTATGACATAATTGATGACTCCCAGTTGATTTTGATGGATGTGAAGCATTTTTCATAAGAAAACAGTTACCAGTCCTGGAGTCAATCTTCCTCTCCACGGTATCCACGGTAGCACCGCGCGTCTTGACATGTCACCATCGGGAGTGAGTCGTGTATTGTTGATCCCCCAAGGGTTGTTTCACTCGTTTTGCGACCGATACGCGATGATACAAGGGTGTCTTCCATTAGCTAGATTCGTCCATGCTCATAGAAGTGGAATTGCTAGCTGCTAGCTCTGTCCAATCTTGGGTCCCTGACTTGTTGGAACCTGCTGAAAAGAGCTGAAATATCGCCTGCACATTCGTTTAATCTGACCATTGTGACTAGGTACTTGTCAACAGAGTGGCCGTGGAACTACAGTAATTAAGATCAATAGCATTTAATCTTTGCCTTAAAATGAAATATGCATAAATATGCTGTATGAATCTGTATGATGTACCTCTCAAATGGCGGTTCAAAATCCTTTAATATGGATAACCTATATATAATATATATAAAATATATATAAAAAATATAATATATATATATATATAAAATATATATAATATATATATAAAATATATAAAATATATATCAATGATGTAGTTTGCCATGGGATGGAACGGGCTTTCCCATGCTTTCCCCAACATCAACTCGCAGTGAGGCGACCTGATGCCATCTCTCCACACGTCTGCGGCATCATTGCAACCTGGCAGAATGGCGGCTTTTTTCTTCCGGAGTTTCTGCCGAAACTTGTTGCGAATGAATGTGTATAAGACAATTGAGGAAACCTCGAAAACATACACAAGCTGGTCATACATACTCGAATAATCTCGAATACGGAAACGTTTGAACCAAGAAAACATGTCCAAATCTGATCAAAGCTGACACTTAGTTCAAACGTTTCCATTTCGTTATTAGTAACAGGTTGAGACTCGCAGTTTTTTTTGGTCGAAATCAGCAGGCAAACAGAGCTAAGCGGCTAAGAATCAGCCAAAGTCTTTACGGGTGTTTGAGCTTTATATAATCTGATGCATATGATATGATTATATATATATATATTATATATACATTCCATGTAGGTACATTATTTGATACATCATATTCAAGACATTTTAAGATTATATATATATATATAAATCGTTTTTATAATGTAATGGCCAGGATGGTATATTCAAACCCTTGTGTCTTTTAAAACAATATATCCAAGATGGTTGTTATATATAATATATATATATATTATATATATAACAACCATCTTGGACACTTTTTTGAAATCCATAGACATATGAACGAAAAAACGTTCTGCATTTCATGCAATTGATTACGTATCCATATACTAATACATTGTATTTGATACATTATTGGGCAAGAAAAAGTCAACAAAGAAAGTAGGCCACCTCCAATCCGTGCTCCGTGCCCAGTTCTTCACAGTTCGGTCGGCAGGTGAACAACTTGCAAGACGTCCCCAGCGTTTGGGGCCACGGGACGTGAGTGTTGCAAACCGGGCCACTTTTTGTGCAGCGGGAGTGAATCCAATCCATGTTCATCCATTTTCACCGGAAAGTTTCTAGCTTTGATAGCCAGACAGATGGTGGGTGGATGTGTTCGGTATTTGCATCGGGCAGCAATAAATCGAAACTTCCGACTATGTTCTTGTTTCTGGTCACTAGGAAGTGAATAGAAGGTAGTCGAATGACATTTTCGATCTACAAAGTGTGCACGGTTCCAGATTCCAGCTTAGTTGTTGTGTTGTGCAATGTGTCGGCACACGTATAATATGTGTCCCCATTTCACAGCACCCACAATTGTCGGATAGTCGTGCGACCATGTTCGACCAAGCAACAATGATGTGCATCCCGCATCATGCAGAGCAGGCGGACGTTCAGCGTTGTGTTCTATATAGATATGAAGTTACCATTCCACATGGTTCTAGTTCTTTTAGCCCTCGACTAGGCCAGTGAAGCGTTGAGCATCTCCATGAATGCTATTTTATGAATTATTTGATTTGAGTATAGCAACTAGCTAATTGATGCTAATTGAGAACTAGTTCTGTGACATCAGGTGAGACTGCAGTGCAACAAGTTCGCCAGTGCTTCTTGTTCGCAGCCGGTGGAGGGTAGCTGGGCCCAGATTAGCCCAGCTCCATAGGATAGACACGTCCTGAGGACATTGTCTTCAACCGGGAGAAATTGGAATCCTCCAAGGAGGCAGTGGACATGTCATGGATCCAACTTGGAAGTTCGCGTGATACAAAAAACATGACCAAAGATTCGAAAGCCAAAGCCAGGGTAGATATTGAAACAGTCGAAACACTGGGAGGACCTTCCAGCCTTTGTGAATGCTCGGCTTTGCTTCAAGGCGGGGGGTTCTTTGTGAAGCTGGGCAAGTCAGGACAGCAAAAGAAAATGTCTCAACAGCAGAAACGCTTGAAACCGTCTCAGGGTTAGATTGAAAGTGAGTGCTTGAAGCCGATTGGCCACAAGACTGGAGATAAGTTTGCACTGAAAGGCATCATTCAAGAGGTCCCAGAAAAAGTACTGAACACACAACAGCGCAGCACAGGAAGTACAGGGTTGATGTAGATATGCTGCCGCGCACACTGACCGGTTGGTTCGAAAACAAATTTTTGAGTCTAAGCGTACATTATGTAATATTTTTGAACATTTACATGTTTTATGTAAGGTATTCCAGAATATTTTATAGGTGTTGGACTATGGAAAAAAGAATGATCATACATTTAATTATTAGATATATATACATTTATATTATGTACTTATGCTTTAGAATTTTCTGTCGGGCAGGCCGAAGGTGCTGAAGCCGAAAAGTACTACAAGGCGCCCTTCGATCGGATTTCAACGATCCGATCGGAGTCGTTAAATATGTCGAGACTTGGGAGTTTCGAGCTACAGACTGTAGCAGCTACAGAGGTTAAGCCAGGTTACCCTCTGGTAATTTAACATAGCTATGGAAAATCACCATGCTATTAATGGGTAAATCCACTATAAATGGCAATTTTGAATAGCTATGTTAGTTTACCAGAGGGTAAGCGATTGCAGCGATTGATGTTGAGCTGAGCCAGAAGTAGCTTGGTTTTGTTCCACAAGGATTGGCGACTCGCAAGTTCTGTTATAGGATTGTCCGCGATGACCATGTGATAGACTAACGTGTTGGTCGAGCTGTGAGTTTTTGAGCGCTCAGATTGTCAAATCGTTGAACAGAGAAGTGCATGTAGCTGGCAGTTTATCGCTCTTTTCATATGTTCTTTCAAGTTCTTTCCATGTCTTTCTTTGCTTCTAGATTTAGTATACGATCAATCTAATAAACCAACATATAGATGTTGCATATATTATATAAACATATATAAACCATCATAGAATCAGAAAACATCATTTAAGTTTATAAAAATACATTATTTTGAACATGTATTTTAATGATATTTCATATGTTGTATAGATTCACAGCTCCTCAGCATTGTGATCTCCTTGACATCACCGTTGAGATATTCTTTTTTAGATCATAATCCATTCTATTGTTGTCTTTATAGTAATAGATTATCATATCTATATATATATATATAAATATATATATATATATTACATATTATATAATTATAATATATATATATTGATATCATCTATATTCATCATATATTCTATATCCTATCCTTTTCTCCATGTCCAGGCCATGGACCCTTCGCCGGAGCAGTGGAAGTACGACGCTGGCGCACCGTTGAAATCTCCTCGCAGCCCTCGTGGAGACACCGAGCCTCCGGCGCCCAATGCACCCGGAAGTGCCGTGCCGACCAGTATGAAGTACAAACCCGTGGGGACACCCAGTAGCCATAGGATCCATGGTGCTGCCATATATACCATGGGTAACATTTTCATATATGGTAACATGGATCCCATCAATATACCATAGGATCAATCTACCATAGGATGCCATATACCATATAATATCCATGTATGGTGCTCCATGGATCCCATCAATATACCCCCAGTCATGTTAGCATTAATATACCAGCACCAGCCGGAATCCATGGGGTATGAAACCTCGGTGAGGTGAGGTTTTTATTTCACCATGAGGAAAAGGCAAAGAAGCCACTGGCAAATCGCTGTTCCACTGATGGCAACAGACAACATATGATGGGTTATACTATGGTTATACATGGTGAAAAACTCCATTTTCAGATGTGTGAGTGCTCTTGGGACGTGTCATGTAATTCCTGGCTAAATCGGCGTTGGCACCAAAATATCATGTCACCCAGTGACTGATACTAGACTCATATACTCATACCGTAATTCGCAGAACTACTGTAAATTCGAATGGAGCAGCTCACAGTGTAACTGGGTGAAATCTCACATGGGTGAAATCTACCACCCGTCAGATCCGCAAAAATCACTGGCATTCCTTGGCTGATCACCACTGATCACCTTTGATCACCTTCAGCTTTTGGAAATCCAAAGATCCTGTCGACATTGTTTTATAATCAATTATTGCGAAGGGGAACGAGATAACACAGTAGTCACACATGCTGAGCATGTGCACATTCTTGCATGGGAAGCCACTATGGCTCAAGACCCACTGTGAGGCCAAAATAACGCGCTCCGCTGCTGCATGGTTTGACAGCTCTGACTATCAGCACATAGGGAACTACAACCGAAGGATATCCAGAACAAGGATCAATTTGTTCACAGGTTATCAGCCGTAGGGCTCACTTCTCCCGCCGGGAGAGTGGTACCTGCGTGCTGGTAGCCGGGCCGTCTGAGCAATTGATTGAGGACGCAAAGGACCAATCAGCTCATCATCGCAAAGATGCAAGGCGGCAGCGGAGATTCGCGCACCACGCAGTTTACCTTCAATGAGAACGCTGCTATGCCGGTCGAGGAGGTCAATCAATCTTCCCCTGGCGACACGGCAGACAGTGGCGGGATACGCTCTACCCGAACTACACAGTCCGGATGGCAAGTCACATCAAACAGACGAAGAATATCCACCCAAAGTACACCTAGATCTTCTCGAAACAGTGCTCGGAGTGATGTTGTCCGCCAAGGGCATCGACCATCTCGAGGACGTACTACTCCAAGGGACAGATCCACCAGGGCCGTGACCGACCGAATTGGTGAGAGGACCGGGGATAGTCGTGTTAAGAGGAGATCAACGGATACTTCTGTGGCTAGTGAACCTATTGCCATGATAGAGGAACTACGGGCACAATGTCAATCCCTACGTAATCAGCTGAACAACATGGAAGCATACGCTGCATCCAGGGATCAACTGATTCATGACATCGAGATCAGATTCACTGAGTATCTTCGGGAACACAATCAGAATGTATTTGATGAGGTCAATGCACTCAATCATAGATTGTCATGTTCCGCACATGAGGTTGCAGAATATCAAGCAGAACTAATGGTAGCATCTCAGGAAGACGAAGGTGCAACAATACGCATCCAAGACCTTGAACGCCGAGGTGCCCTAATGGAACATGGTGCGCGACGGATCCATCAACGTGGTATGGAGATCCAGGAGGAGTACAAGGATGAAGTACATCACCTTCAAGGACTACTGGGGAATACGGAGGCAAGACTACAACAACTTCATCAAACCAATGTCTTAACCACCGATATTGCCAATCGACTATACAATGAGGGTCAAGAAATGCAAAATGATTTCCAGAACTCAATCATGGAATATCGTAACCGATCTGAAATGGCATCCTTCTCTAGTAATCAACTTGAAGTGATTAGCCAACAACAATCAATTGCAGTTCATGAATTATCTGAGCGAAATCAGCTATTGAGTGAAGCTTTGGTTCAGTCTCGTAAACAGGCCGAGCTGTATGAGAGCAGTATCGACGAGATCACTAGAGAATCTAGGAAGAAGGTGTTCGAGGCAAATCAGGCCAAATTGGAAAGTGATCTGAAGCATCGAAACACTGAACATGATACCGTCAGAAGAATTGCATCATACAGAAACCAAGAGGCCGAAGCAATATCACACCTGAGGCTTGAATCACAGGCTAGTGCAAACTCGATCGCAAGGGCAGAGCACTATGAGGAGCTCTATGCCAACGAGCAGAAGATGAACTGCGAATTGAAGGATGAGATCAAGTTGCAGAACACGAAGTTACGAAGATCGTTGACTCAGGGTTCTACGACCGACGGTCGTGGCCCCGAAGAGATGCTTGTTGAAGATCTACGTAATCAAGCTAAGATCGCTCAAATCAGGGTTCAGGATCTAGATCATGACGTTCATGAATGTTTACAAGAGAACTTGTTGTTAAAAGAAAGGTTGACTGAAGTTGCGGATGTAGGGGCGTCGTCCCTCACCAATGCTGAGGTCCGAACTCTAAGATCTGAACTAGAGAGTGAGCGAAAATTGAAATTGGCGAGTGGTGTTCAACAATATGAGAGATCATGCATGTTCATGGGGGAAATCCAGGATAGGGATGAAAAGATTGGCATCAAGAATTCTGAGATTGTTGACATGAAACGTCACTTAGATGAATTGAGAAGAAGTCTCAAGGATTCTGAAACATCTATGGCTAGGATCAGTCCTGACACACTTCCCTATTCGGCAGGCATTCCCAACTCCGATCTCGCATCCAGACTGGTCATCGACAAACTGGAGAATGACGTGAGTGAGGCTAACTGTGAAAACGCTATTCTGAAATCTTGGGTTTCGCAGATCGACAAGGAGTTGACTTATGAGACAAATGTGGCTCATTCCTATCGTGGGCATGCTGTACCTCCTCAACAACAACAGCATTCTCAGTCAAGCAAAAGAATCGCTGATCTGCTGAAAGAGGTTGACAACAAGATCGCTGGCGGAACTGAGAGGGACTATTACAAGCCACCGAGTGGATGGGGCGGTCCGCCTGACCCTGATGGACCTCCGGACCCTTTTGGGCCTAACGGTCCAGGACCACCTCCTGAACCTCCTGGTTTGCCTTCAGTTCGAGGATCACAACGCGATTCAGCAGATGATGTCTCCACAGCGGCTTACACTGCGGAAGAAGTACCGAGAATGTCAAGACGAGAGGCTGACAAAGTCTATGTTAGCCCATGGCCAAAGCAACAGAATCTTGGGGTTTGGCAATCAGATCTCATCAAGAGTGTTGTTCTTTCGGCAAATGACGGGGATAAAGCCGCATGGGAAGCATGGCTACAGCCGGCTATTCGACCAAATCCTGGCATCGAGCTGTTGAATGACAGTGGGGGGCAACGGTATCAGTCCATCGACGCCAAGTTGTCAATTGCATTGTCAAACGTGATAGCCCAAGCCGGTGATGTTGCTCGTCATGTAGCGATCAAATTGAGATTGAGAACACAAAGTCATAGCCGAAGAGGAACCTATGTCATGGGACGGGAAATCTTGGCTATGATTCTGGCGCACTTCAGAACCCCAGGTCAACGAGAAACATCCTTCACCATGGAACACATCGTATCGATGAAGTATCTCGGTGACTCGAACCTAGAAGTGTTCTACGAGAAATGGATGGAGATGGTATCAAACATGATGCCGGATGACGTACCTCCTGATGATTGGCTTCGTGACGCTCTATACAAGAAGATTCGAAATTCGAGTCTTATGATGTTCGACATCAAGCAGTACGAGTCATGGATGGAAGGAGACCAAAGACGAAATTATCGCTACCTGTTGGATGTCATCGAAAGGCACATCTCCAGAATCAGAGAGGACAAGCATGTGGCAGCCAGAGAGAAGTATGCGAGAGACTTTGCAGGCGGCGGCAAACCTTCAGCTCCTGCTCCGAACCCAACTGCCGCTGCACCGGATGCAAATCCAAAAGCGAAGCCTAAAGCTACTCCCAAGGAGAAGGCAGCGCCCAAGGCGAAGGCCAAGGCCGATGCAGCTCCAGTTCTACCATCACCTCAGCCTAAACAGCATGCGAAAGGAAAAGGAAAAGGTCAAGGGAAAGGGAAGGATCGAGCAAACAGCCGAAGTACCAGCCCCAGATCCAAGAAGAAGATCCCATGCCATTTCCATTTCATCAAGAAGTCATGCAGAAAAGGCAAAGATTGTGAATACAGTCATGATCAAAAGGTGTTCGAGGCGAATAAGAACGCAAAAGGGAATGGTCGGAAGCCAGGAACTCCAAGAAGTCAATCTCCGGCAAACAAGACCAAGAAGATTGATGAACCATGCTGGCATTGGGCCAAGGGCAAGTGTCGGTATGGAGACAAATGCAACAAACGCCACGATCCTCATCTATTTAACACTGCTCCCAACACCGAAGCACCAAGCTCAAAGGCTACTCCTGCACTTGTCCATGATTGGAGCGATGATGAAGAGACGTTCCATAAGATTGCATCGAACGTGGTCAAGAAGAGGGTCAGATTTGATGAGTCTAAGACTCACGTTCAAACTTACGTAAAGAAGGACTTCGTGAAGTGCAATCGGAAATCTCAGACTGTCTCCAAAGGGCATGGCAAAGTTGGAAAGCCCACTGATCAGATAAGGAAAGATGAGCAATGGTCTTATTCATGCAGGTTAGCTTCGAGCCGAGGGAAAGCAATGGCTATTCTGATCGATGAGAAGGGTGAACACAGTGACATTGATGAAGTCCTGGTCATAGTCGGCCCTAGCATGGACATCCTGATCAGACTCGACGTCGAGGACGGTGAGGTGTCCAGGGAAGTTTTTGTGGAAAACTATGTTCAGCATATTGAAGGTCGATATGGTAAAAGGGGCAACACAATGTGTATCACTGTTCCTGTTGAAGAGAGAGATAAGAGATTCATATTGGATTCTGGAAGTGGCCATGATCTCATTTCATCCACACGAATAAGTAGAATGGA